GGGGGGGGGTTCTGCTCCATCTCCGCTAACAGGTTTAAAAAAGCCTGTCAGTTTAGGCATTTTGTTTGTCGCCTCTTTGTCGCAATGCTCTTTTTCTTTTCTCTTCCTTCTTTTTTGCGCTCCGCTGTCATATTTTCTGTTGTCCGCCATTGTAAAATAATATTCCCTGACGCTCCTCCGCAATGCGTAAGATGCGTCAAAAGTGGACCAATAACAAGCAAGCATTAAAGATGGACGTTTGACAGAACAAATTGGAACATTTTTCATCGGTGCTGTCAAAATCATCATAGTCATTGATTAAATTCTGACACTATCAATTCACAAAAACATAAAACATCCTTCGGGGCCCCCGAAATGCCGGGGCCCCGGGCTGCAGCCCCGGTAAGCCCCTGCTAAAATCCGGCCCAGTATACTGTGTATATACTGTATGTATGTATGTATAAACTACTCTACTAGACATGACAGACGAGGCACCCTCTTTTATTTCTCATTTTAATTCATTTTCTAATTTTACATAATTTGTTGAAAAATCATGGTTTTCGCTCAATAACTAATTATTTGTTCAAAAATCATGGTTTTCGCTCAATAACTAATTAGAAAATGCTCTAAAATGAGAAATGTATCTTGTGTGTCAGGTCTATTAAAGTAGTTTAACATTAGTTTTGTGTCAGTGGGTCAAATGATGTAAAAGATGTAAAAATACTTCTGACAAGTGTCTGGTTCGGTAATTTGTTGACGGTTCCTAAGCGAACCATTACATTTCGGAGGAGGGGCAGACTGAGCGTAGCTGACTGAAATCAGACTGCCTGCTTCAGATCCAACGAACACACCGCTGAAGCCACGGATCTCGAATGTCCAACGTAAAACTACCTTCACCGCGGTAGAGAATTGAGGCTCTAGCATAGCATGGAGTTCAGAAACAATTTGAATTGAGAAAAAAAAGCTATCTGTAAACTTATTAAGTCGTGTTTTAGACTGCTTATTGCTAGAGAGTCTATTCTGACCCAAAGTGCAGCCATGACTGGTTCTGAATGAGGCTTTACAGCAGACAGCCACTCCCCTCTCTTCCAGGTATTGAGTAAAATGGTAAATGAACTGTACTTATATAGCGCCTTTCTATCTTATTTCAAGATATTCAAAGCGCTTTACACTACAATCTGTGCCTCATTTACCCATTCATACAGTAGTCTACTAGATCTCTACAAAGTTAATTGAACAAATTATTCTAATGAGACTCATCAGTGCTTTAGATCACATTCATACAATGATGGGACACACATCAGAGGCTATGAAGGGTTCAGTGTCTTGCCCAGGGACACTTCAACATGTGACTGATGGTGGATTCGAACCCCCAACTCTCGCATTGGAGGACGACTGCTCTAACCACTCAGCCACAGCCACCCCAGCGCAGAATCTTTTAGTGGTACACAGTACTGGACTGGACCAGCTTACTTTCACCCCTGGTTGTGATGCTACTTTCTGTTGTATGTATTGTTCTGTTGGTATAGAACCGCATGCGAATGAAAGAGGGTGGGCGTGACAGCGGTAACAAAAACACGTATTTATCAATGAGTCACGTTATTGCTTGGATTTGAATCAGTACATTTTGTATCCAATAAAAACAAGGATGTGAACAAATAAACTGGACAATATTCTGGCAATTTAGTGACATTTCCACAGTTGTGGTCTTGAAATTAAATCCAGAGTCCTCAATGTCCGAGACCGAGACAAGACCGAGACCAAATGCGGTCAAGTCCAAGACAAGACCAAGACCATCAAAAAGTGGCCTTCAGACCGATCTCAAGACCAAGACTGGTCTCGAGTACTACAACACTACCCAGGAGGTCAGAGAGGCCTGCTGGATCTGACAGCAAGCTGGATCTGGGTGCACAGATGAGTATCTATGGCCAGATTCTTCGGATTTGATGCAGGAGATCCTTCCTGCCCACAGCTATCAGCATCTATAACAACTCTTGAATTAAACCAGGACGAAGAGCTTCGACACCACTTAATTTCCCTTTGTGAATAATAAAGTATTTTTGCATTGAATTGAATAATAGCTGACAATGTTTCCCATTAAATGCTACATAAATATAAAAAAATCCAAGATGGCTACCAACACTACTTTTGAATTGATTTAACTCAGCAATTTTTACAAATACAGAGCTGAAATTTGGTGAGTTTATAGCTGAGAACCTTACCTATCACATACTGCATCCAAATAAAAAATCCAAGATGGCCATGTTAGCTACAATAACTCAGGTATTTTTAGAGATATTCAGCTAAAATATAGTATAGTGGTAGCTGAGAACAAACCCAAACACATAGTACTGTCAGAGCAACAGTTTATATCGGCAGCAGTCTGACTGTCCAATAGGAACAATTGTGGATGTTCTGCTTCCTTCTGATATTTCAAGCTTCTTTTTGCTGTTTTAAGCTACCTTTCAACTGTTTTCTTGACATTCTTAAGCAAGAAGCATTCACACTTGCATTTTTTGCAGGAAATGCAAGTTCTCTAATTTTTGTTGTGTTTCATTCATGTTCTCCAGGTCGTGAATGACTATCAACATCTTGAAGAGCACAGCTTACTTTTTCTGATTGTGCTTGTTGATGAATGTGTTTGCAGTCAGGGCTCCAATCATCACTATGAAGACAGCTAGGGTCACACTGAGTCCTGCAAAAAATGCAGTTTTCTGTATGGGCAGGTGGCAGTCATGGCCCAAGTACCACGTAGAGTTTACATTTTGACACCTGAGAAGAGAAGACACAACCGTTAGATCTGCTAGGAGGAACACTTTTTATAAAGATCTGAAAATGTGAACATACTCGCACACGACTCCCAGGCCAATGTACACTTTGCACTTTCCCTTGTTTTTGCAGGTTTTCGGACCACCAGGATACTGTTTGTGACACCGAGTCACACACACATACATTCCTCCATCATCTATGACCTGGTAATGTTCTGCAGCGTTCAAGTTTCCTATGGGGTGTTCACACAAAGCTGGACAAATACATGAAGGACAACCCTCAAAACACAGAAACACAGCTGATAACTGAAGCACAATTATGTTTATTCTGTTAGTCATTTTCAAAAAGTTAGCAGGAACGCTGTGTTCTGACTTATGTAGAACATTGTACACGAGATGAAATTAATAAAACAAACTGTAAAAAAATTCCCCCATAGACCACAATGTGGTTTAGTTGAATGGAGATGTAGAACCCAGTCCTGTTTGGATCTTCAGCTTAGAAACACAATCATCTGCCAGATTTAAAATAACTCACAGAAAGTTGGATAGTCCATGACTGACCAGAAGCCACATGCACAAAAACATGGCGTATGCCCTATTTCACTTAAAACTTCAGATGTATCAAGAATAAAATGACCACAGAAATGTGTGCAGCCTCGTGACAACTTCATGTCTGGCATACACATGTTTCAATGGTTATTGGTCCATTGAAGATAGAGGTGATGCTGGGAAACTGTTAATGATGTGAAAACTATTATTGTACACACCGGACACACATGATGAACAATTAATGCATCCACATGTATGAATTTAGAGGAGTGGATATAAAAGCATGTGCAAAGTCCTGTAGAAAACATAACTGGCTTTAGCCTTATTAGAGGATATAGCAAATGAAGTGATGAGTTAAAAGCATAACTCAAATCTACAAACAAAATTTTTACAAAACTTTTGACACTCATCAAGTGTTTTGTAATGGTGTTCAACAGAGTCAAGCATCATCCGTGCATCTGTTGCTTCTGTATGCAAATTGTAGTGGATCTAATGCAGTGGCCATAAAACTGTCCAGATGACCGACAAGAACCTGCCCCTTATCTGGTTTCAGGAAACAACACGGCACAACCACTGCTTCACTGAAGGTTCTTAATGACATAATTGAAGCACTGAATGCTAAGGATTATTGTGCTGCACTTTTCTTAGACTTGTCTAAAGCTTTTGACACTGTGGATCATAACATATTGTGTCATAAGCTCTCAGAAATCGGTTTCGCAGAACGCACCATTGGTTGGTTCCCTATCTCTCAGGCCGGAGGCAATGTGTTTGACATAATGGTACTTCCTCCAGTTATTTAACAGTCAACAATGGTGTACCACAAGGCTCAGTCTTAGGACACACTCTCTTTACAATCTACATAGGTAATGTATGTCAAAACATCCCTGATACATCCATACATTTCTATGCTGATGACACAGTTGTTTATTGCCGAGCTAAAACAGTTGAAAAGGCTTTCTAGCCTTTGAAATCTGCATTCAAGATCATCCAGTCTGATTTATTCCACCTCAAACTTGTCCTAAATGCTGACAAAACCAAAGGGATGCTTTTTTCAAATAGGAAGTCAGTCCCAGCAGTTCTTCCTCTGATTTCATCCTCAAATGGTGTCCCGATTGAGTTTGTTGATTCCTATAAATATTTGGGTATCTTGGTCGACTAGCATCTCTCTTTTAAGCTCCATGTGGAAAACCTAGTAAAAAAACTGAAAGTTAAACTGGGTTTCTTTTTCAGAAACAGATCTCGTATAACTCTGAATGCTGACTTTCCTTCCCTCCATTGATTACGGTGACATTATTTACATGAATGCTCCTACAAGAACCCTGCAGATGTTGGATGCTGTCTATCATGGTGAACTAAGATTCATAACTGTCTGTGATTATTGTACCCACCACTGCACCCTGTATTCACTGGTTAAATGGACATCATTAACTTCATGCAGACTCTCTCACTGGTACATTTTAATCTTTAAATCACTTCTTGGTCTGCTGCCTTCATACATCTCCTCCTACATGTCTCTGTGTGAGTGCAGCTACAGCGTGAGCTCTCAGGACATTATTAACTGCAGTGTTCCCTCAGTGCCAACTGAACTAGGCAAAAGGGCCTTCTCCTACTCCGCTCCTGTTTCCTGGAATATCTTACAAAAAGATTTGAAGCTCTCGACCTTGACCTCTCTAAGTGACTTTAAGAATCTGTTGGACTCCTGGCAGGGACCAATGCAGACATGTTCCTGTTTTTAGTTTTCTACATTCACCTTATAATCTAGCTGTTTTTTGTTACTTTTTTTTTAGCCATCTTATTTGTAAAAAAAAATACAAATTTGTATGCCTTTTTTATAACCGTCTATTATTGTCACTATTGTCCACTGTTGTCATCATTCTTTGTTAAAATCAGGTCTCTCTTGTACATGAGTCCTCGAGGCTCAATGGGATTTACTGTCATGAATTGGGGTGGATCAGACAAGCACAGACTCAGAAAAAAAGCAGGTTGGAGGTCCAAAGGGACCTCCAGAGAAGCCCCAAAACCCTGGTGGATGGCCTGGCCACTGTCCAAAAAGTGGCAAAGTCCAGGTCAGATGGCCGTGTAAGCCTTGCTGGGGCCAGATCAAAGGCAAGACCAGGACCAGTGCTGCACCATGCAGGAGGATCAGAGCTGCAGCCCACAAGGATGTCCTGGAGGCTGCTTCGGCCGACATGGGGGTCCTGGGAACCGCTTCGGCCGACATGGGGGTCCTGGAGGCCGCTTGACCGGCATGGGGGTCCTAGGAACCGTTGCAGACGGCATGGTGGTCCTGGGAACCGTTGCGGCCGGCATGGGGGTCCTAGAGACCGCTTCGGCCGACATGGGGGTCCTGGAGGCCGCTTCGGCCAACATAGGGGTCCTGGAAGCAGTCTCGGCCGACATGGGGGTCCTGGAGGCCGCTTCATCTGACATGGGGGTCCTGGAGGCCGCTTCGGCCGACATGGTGGTCCTGGAAGGCGTCTCGGCCGATATGGAGGGCTGTGGGTCAGCTGCGGCAGACATGGAGGGCCGTGGAGCTGCTGAAGCACACATGGGTGGTTGTGGAGCCTCTGCGGTAGGTGGCGGAGCCTCTGTGGTAGGTGGCAAATCTTCTGTGGTAGGCGGCGAATCTTCTGCGGTAGTGGAGAGCGCTGGCCCCTCTGGAGACGTGGAGAGCGCCGGCCCCTCTGGAGACGTGGAGAGCGCCCACCCCTCTGGAGACGTGGAGAGCGCCGGCCCCTCTGGAGACTTGGAGAGCGCCGGCCCCTCTGGAGACTTGGAGAGCGCCAGCCCCTCTGAAGACTTAGAGAGCGCCGGCCCCTCTGGAGACTTGGTGAGATGGAAGGGTGCTGCTGCCAACATGGAGGACTTTGGACCTGGCAAGGGGGTCTGAGGGAAAGACATGGAGGCCTGGATGGGAGCTGCAGCCAACTTGGAGGCCTGGAGGGGTGCTACAGTGAATTTGGAGGCCTGGAACTCAACTGGTGGCGGTGCAGGGGGAGCCCAAATCACAGCAAGCACGGGGGCCAGGACAGCCGCAAACATGTTGGTCAGCGCTTCCACCTGTGGAATCTGGGGCTCTGCAGCCGCTGGAACCAGGAGACAAGCCAATGCTGTCATGGGGGTTTTGGAGATTGCAGCAGCTGAAGAGGAGACCTGAACCGCTACAGGCAACATGGAGGCCTGGGGAGCTGCTGGGGCAGGCGACGTGGAGGCCTGGGGA